AGACACAAATTTTTACAAAAAATCCTACTTTTTACGCTTATTACCCGGGACTAATTATATGGGCGTATGGGTAACTCGTGAATATTCAACACTTCTCCTACAACGACAAAATAATGTCACATAAGAACAATCATCAGCCTAAACAATAAGTACAAAAAAAGATAAGAAAACAGGAATGTGGAATACAAGGACCTGTGTGCGCGTCCACGAAATTTGTATCCCTGCGCTGAATCGGCATTAAGCGAGATTGCCTTGTCGCAATCACGAATTGCACCAAGCGGTTTGTTCAGTTTCAGCAAAACACTGCAAAAGTTTTGCTATTTAAAGAAATTACAATTCAAAACCAGCCACAACTCTCCATGCATCATTTTCTCTGGCAAATACCACGAATCGGAAAAAATCTAAGTTGTAGCACATTGCCAATAATAAAACTGCTCTTTGGGAAGGCTGTCGATGGTGTACTTTGCAAAACAAGATGGACTGCTAAGAAGCAAAATTAATGGCAGCTTTGACTTCTTGATATATGCAAGTACCAATTTACCATCGAATTCACTTGTATTGGAAAAGTAAAACAAGGAATGAAATAAGCAGAATCAAAAAGGAAGGTAAGGAATGAGAATTACTAAATTTGTGAAATTATTATAACGATAAGAAACGTTTCGGTCCATTAAGTCGTATACATTTCTTACCATTATCACAGTTGGACCTAGTCAGTATGACGATTATGGCAATTAAAGCTGGCAGAAATTAGTTATGTAATGCACGTTAGTAGTAAAAAGTGTTATAGAAGACGAGTAGTAATAATTCTGGCTATGTCAAGAAACATTAATGCTACATGCCAGGAACCAATAACGGATCTAGAAAGAGAAGGGGAGAGGATGATGGGCCCTTCGGCACAGGTAACAACGCTAAAACTGAAGAAAGCTCCTTTCTGCACCCCTGTCACCCCTTCCATCCCTTCCCCCACCCACTAGGAATCTCACTTATACTAGCCCCCCCCCCCTTCCATCGCTGCCGTACCAGTAAGCTCACT